AGAGGAGGAGTTCATTTCTGCCAAAAAAAAACTTCTAAACTTTTAGATTAATCTCAGAAATTTCCTAGAAATTTTTTTTACATTTCTGAGTATGAAAAGTAAAAAAGACTATTGTGAGATTAATTTAAGACATTTTCTTGGGGGGGAAAAAAACATCTCTGAAAAAAAATTCTTGAAAAAAAGTTGCAAAAGTCAAAAATGTTTCAAAGACTAAAAATTGTCTTGAAAATGTCTGAGGTTAATTTAAAACCTTGAGTATTTTATAAGCACATTTTAAACTTTTGTGGTTCAGAAATGTCTTTGTTTTTATTTAGAAAATTTCTGAGATTAATCTCAAAATTTCTGAAACTTTTGGTGGAAATTTCCCCATCCTTTCATATTTCTATCTTTAATGGCCCTGACTCACCGATTCACACAGGCGACTTAAAGTGTCTAAGTTTTCTTTAACCGATTCACCTGCAGGTTTCGGCCATGATTCTGTTCGTGAAACAGTTCAAACTGGAGGTTCTGGGAGTCGGGGAGGTCGGCTTACCTGGAGAGGGCGGCGCTCTGAAAGAAGCAGCTGCTCAGCGGACAGCAAAAGAGGTCAGAGATCGCGCCGACAAGGCAGAGGCCGTGCAGCACCAGAATCAGAGTGTGAGCCGCAGCACCGCCTCCTCTGCTGTGAATGGAACCGACGACAAAACTGAATATGTAAGGAAATTAAGAAAATTTAAAACAATTTTTTATAAAACTAACAGAAGTGAAACAAAGAGCAGAGCTGGAACATCAGTTTAAGATTTCTGAAACTCTACTTTAAAAAAAAAAGAAACTGTGGGTTAATTTCTGCTTCAAGGTTTTATAGGTTTTATTAAAAAAATGTTTATTACATTTTTAGAAAATTAGAGTTTAGTTTTATGGTTTCTGTCACCTTAAATCCAATTAACCTACTGCTTGCCACGCCCCCAACTCAACGCTTAAACTCGCATATGAAAATGGCTGCAAACAGATGTGCAGTTATACGACCGTACATCACCAAATGTGACTTAACATCAGGAAGGTTTCTGAAACTGCTCATTTTTCACACACTAAAACCTTTTATACATATTTCTCATGTGACATCACATTTCGGAGTTCTTTGTGGCTGATAGCCATATTGGTAGGTATTGTTGCTATATAGTTGCTATGACAATAAACAAGCCACAGCATTTGTCTCATACAGTCGATCCTGATCAGCAGAGATTTTGTCGATGTTTATTTCTCTTGCTCGTTGGTCAACAGTGTCAATATACTTTCTTTCTGTTGGACTCGAAGTCATGGTTCATCTTTGCTTGGCGATGTTCTTGCCTACCAAGATGACGGTTAAGTGGCGCGGATCACTTCCAGTCCAGACTTGTGGAAACTATGTATAGCCAAAAAATGGCTGGGTGTGTTTTTAAGTACGTAGACCATCTTGAGAAGCAGATGAAAACCAAATGGAAGTATAAAAACATGCAAAATGTGGATTTTGCAAAAAAGATACCCTTCCAAGAACCCTCCCCTCCCCCCAAAAAAAAAAAAAACTTATACTGGGGGTAAGGGTTGCCAGTTG